CATCCTAATTACTTCAAACAATGCCCATGATGAAACAACAATAGGAGGAGAAACAACAGAATCAACTATCTCGACAAAAGGTGTTAAAGAAGCTGGTTCAATAACTACAAAATATATATGTAATGGTTAATCAGTTAGCCAAGATTCAAGTGAAAAGACTAGTGGAATCTCTACCAAACACTCCATTGACATATGTTAACAGACATCATTATAATGAATTTGAACCACAAGAGAAGCTTCAACAACTTAACCACCAACTTTAGTGGTGGCCCATAAACTTGCTAAAATACAAGAGAAAAACTTGAGTATGGTATGAAGGAGTATGAGGTTTAATGCAAGTTTGACATCGAGTAAATGATCTTTAAAAGTACAGTCTAAAAAGGATGTTAAATCATATCTAGTTGTGCAAAAGCTAATACCTCTCAAATCAAAAAGAAGCATGATAAGGCCCCATGTTTTAAATGTAATGGGAAATAGGGACCTAATCATAAATATGATGGGTCTAAATTATTTTTTAATAAAAAGGCCTAATCATAAATATGGTGGGTCTAAATTATTTTTTAATAAAAAGGATGAGGAGAAAGTCATTGGTAAAGGCCCTAACTCTATAGGAGACTTGATTGATCTTGAATGATCATTTTAAAGAAGAGAAAGCTAAATTTTCCTTGAATGCTATGTTAGGAAGCCCTAGTCTACAAATAATAAGGATTAAGCTCATAATTAAAGGTCAAACAATTGTAACTCTAATGGATACAAGAAGTTCTCATAATTTTATTTACTCAAAGGTTGCAATATGGTTAGGCATGTTTGTAGAAGAATAATAACCTATTAAGGTTAAGATGATTGATGGGTCATTGGTATAAAGTAAAAGGTTTTGTCTAGAATTGAAGTTTAAAGTTTAAGGAGTTCAATCATGAATATAAGTATGGTATTATACAGGGATATGGAAATATAACTAGCTTATTAATCCAATTACTTAAAAAATACACTTTAGATAAAATTTACAAACAAAAAAAGCCTTTAAAAAATTAAAATAAGCTATGTCAAAACCTTCAGTATTAGTGATATCAAACTTTACTAAACCCTTTATAGTATAATATGATGTTTCAAGGGTAAAGGTAGAGGATGTGTTGATGTAATAAGAGAAATCAATCTCCTGTTAAGTAAAGATTTTGGGGTAAATAATTAGATCCATCAACTTATAAAAAGAGCTATTGGGGTTAATAATGGTAGTGCACAATAATATTTATTTGGTCAATCTTTAAAAGTTAAAATTATCCAACAAAGCCTCAAGTATTTGTTAGAACAAAAGATAAGGACATCCTTGTAGTTAAAAATAAGCTTCTAAGCTACTAGGATTGAATTTTTGATGGAATACAAAGCGAGGAAAGAGAATAAAGTGGCTGACATATTATCTAAGAAAGCCAAGGGGTTGATTAAAAGAGAAATAAAGATTAAAGAATTGTGGTCCATAACTATTCTATTAGTATAGAGGGTTATAACTATTCTATTAGTATAATGGGTAAAGAATTTAAAGAGGAGTTATGCTATAAATTTTAAAAATCAATACATATTTCAAAAGATAGAAAATGATACTTTAAGAGCACTAAAGTTTCAACTTAAAAGCAGGCTACTGCTATATAAAGAAAAAATTTACATCAGTAAACATTGTCTTCTTAAACCTGTAGTTCTAAAATTTATCTATAACAGACTTTTATTAAGGAACTCATAATATGAAAAGACACTTTAAAGGTCCAAGAAGGATTTCTTTCTAGACATGTATGAAGATAAAAGAAAGAGATTACATTCAATAATATAACACTTGTTAAAGGGCCAAATTGAAAAACTAAATTAGGGTTGCTAAAACCCCTACCAATACTGGCAAAAACCTCGGTCATCCATTTCCATGGATTTTGTTGAAGGTTTATGATCCTTTGATAAGTATTCAATAATATTTATGATGATTGATAGGTTAACAAAGTATGCTCACTTTGTATTTATTACTTATCCTTACACAGCTTCAAGGGTTACCCTAGTTTTTGTTTAGAATGTCATAAAGTTATATAGGCTTCTAGAAAATATAGTTTTGAATAAAGATTTTATCTTTACTAATAGACTTTGGTAAGAATTATTTAAAATATAAAGGGTTGGCTCTAAATTAATTAGCAGATTAAGGTTACCAACAAAACCTTAAAGAAGTACTTACGATACTTCATAGCAGATAATCTTAAAACTTGGTCATAGTAGATCATTATGGCCAAGTGGTGGTATAACATTAATTACCATTCGTCCCTTAAAACCAACCTATTTTAAGCATTATATGGTTACGAAACCCGAAGCCTATTTAGTTATATTCTTGGTCTCACATACCAGGTTGTAGAAAAGCACCTAAAAAACAAAACAATCATTTTACACAACATCAAGGGCAACCTAGCTAAAGCACAAAATCAACAAAAAGGATATGTTATTTTAAAAAAAAAAACAAAAAGAGAAATAGTTTGAGGTGCGAGAATGTGCATACCTAAAATTACAACCCTATAGCTAAATAAGTATATGACAACAAAGAAAGAAGAAGTTAGCTCATCAATATTATAGGCCACTCAAAGTAGAGAAAATAATTTAGGAGTGTTGCTTATCATTTGAAACTGTCCGAAGGGATCGAAGTGCGTCTTACCTTTAATGTTTCATTACTAAAAATGGGCCACTCAAAGTAGAGAAAATAATGTAGGAGTGTTGCTTATCATCTGCAACTGTCTGAAGGGATCGAAGTGCATCTTACCTTTAATGTTTCATTACTAAAAAAGAGACTAAAAACCATGGAACTTGTGGCATTAAAGCTACCACTATTTTGGGAAAGAGTTCCCAACCTATTACTCAAATAGATCTAGAAGTAGAGGGAGAAAAAACTTGAAAGGGTCTCATAAAGGATTTTTTAATACAATACCAAAGGCAAACCAATAATGATACGATATGGATAGATTAAAAGTGGCTACATTCAGCTCATCCCAACTTTGAGGCCGAGGATCTCAAAGAGGGAATGGATGTAACAATTAACATTATTAGTAGTAAACAAGGGATTGAAGCTTCGTGAATAAGGTTGTTGGGATAATACTCATCTAATACGGAGGTGGTATAAATGGAAAGATATTGACATCTGGATCATCACAGCTATAAGTTAGCATTTAAATAATTAAAAGGAAATGACAATACATCAGTTAAGAAGGAAATAGTCAACATTGACTATGTTAATACCATAGATTTAATTGGATTCAAATTGGAATTCAAGACTTTGAATCTCAGGTGAAACATATATTTAGCTTAGAATTAGGTTGACAATTGATATGAAAAATTTCACAATAAAATTCATTCTTTAGAAGTCATGACCACCTCAAATTGATCACTAAATTTTTCTTTTGATTTTCTTTTTATTTATCACCTTTATTAATTAAATCATTTGCTTTCATAATGAAACCTTGATTTAATTTCTTATACTTGATGTTTTTACCATAATTAATAATCAAATTACCATTCGACATCCACATTAACTTAAGATGATTGACATTTTCATGTCCAGTGCATCCAATATTATTGTAAAAATATAAAAACAACTAAAATTTTAAAATTTACTAATTGTTATGTTTGCAAGTTCCAGCTACCCTAATTATTGGTAATTACCACGAAACTCAACTAGATTGAGGAATCCCACTCCACTAAATCCATAAAAAATAATAGTTTAAATAACAAAATAATTGGAACTTAACAACCTATATATACTTGCAATTGAAGAAGTCAAATTACTTAAACATGCAAGTTCACCTTCTCTATTGTACCACAAAATCCAAGTATTGTCTTTAAGATCAAGCTCACCAAATTGATAAAAAAAATAAATAAAAACTAATTATAACTTTAAACCTTCTAAATTTACTCTAAACAAAACAAGTTTAATCCCTAGCAAAAATAAAAAAAAAATACAACTGAAAACCTTAACAAACTAATCAAAAAACCAACAAATATTTAAACTCTAGTTGCCGCAACAGCTATTAATTAAAATCTTAACTTTCTAAAAAAAACAAAAATCTTATGATGGAACCATTTCACCACCCAAAAACATATAATTTCATCAAGATTAATCATATTCGGCAATACATATGGGATTAAGTGGGGTCAAATTGAGTTTACATTATTATAATTATCTTTTTCTTGAATGCTTATAAATGCCATGAAAATCCTTACTTCACTTAACTTACGAGTTGGATCATGGTAGATCATCGGCTAGGGTTTGATGAGAGAGACATGTTGGGTTTTAATCAATTTAGGGTTTGAAATTTTTCAAAGAGGAAGGTTTCATCACTTGAAGAGAGAGAAGATTGATATGTTGTTTGGTTGATTTTCTAATTTGATTTATAAGGGTAGTTTGGTTATTTTTTAGATTTAAAATTTTTTGTAAAGTATAAATTTTTCAAACTATAGCCTGTAATTACAATTTAAACCAAATTACAAGATGCCAAATATAATTTTCTACATTAAAAATCTTTCACGTATCAGAAACTTGAAACTGGTACTTCTTTGGCTTCCTGTTGAAATATCAATTCCTTTAGTGTGATCTTATTGTAATAATAACTGAATCTAAATGGTAAAGAAATAGCTAGTCCCACATTAATTTTGACATGTACATGCAGTTCAAGCTTGTAAAAGAATTGATCACAGAAGAAAATAAACCCATGTAGTCGACCTCAACTAGTTTGGAATTAACATACGTTTAGTTGAGTAGAATCAAGGTAAAACTGAGGAGTTGTGCTGATAAAATGACGAGACTCTTTTTTTATATATATATTTCAAAAAAAAAAAAAAGACGAAGAAGAAGAATTTAATATATTTCAAAAAAAAAAAAGACCAAGAAGAAGAAACATCTCTAACTGAGAGCAACATTTTTGAAGCTTCAATATATAGTTACTTCCGTGAGTGTTGTCAACAAAGCCCAGTTACAGGTGCCATTATGAACACGGGTAACATATACTTATTTGTTTATGTAGATTATTCCGGGTTCTATACAGTGATATGCATGTATAGCAAGGGAAAAAGGCAATGAAGTAACACATTTTATCAAGACCTTGAGAAAGTATCATCGCTAGACATGTCAAAGGGACTCCAGTTACCAAACAATAGATTAGGATCTTGAGTGTCAGGTCCAAGAACTGGTTGTTGAGACATTTCCAGGCTATGATTATCCATCATGTGAGAATTTGACCAAAGCATCTCTTGAGAGACTGTGTCTTGTCCTGGCAATGGTAGCAAGTGGAAGCTGCTTGTTTCATGATCACTTGTACACTGTTGAGTCCTATCTTGGTGATCTTGGTGCTTTTGAGCTGAGTCTAGACTATAGTAGTACATCAAGTGATCATTGTCACTCAAAGTAACTCCTGTCGAAAAGTCAGAGATGGTGAGGGATCCAGCAAGACCATTTTCTTCAGGTAATTGAGCACTTGATTCCAAATACGAGCTCGGAATGTTAGGGAATTCAAGATATGGATCAAACTCGCTTCTAAATTCAGGCACTTCAAAACCACTCTTGGAATCTTGCTGTGGATTCAAGAACTTTGCATAAACAAGTGCGAGATCAATATGAGAACCATCAGGAGTCATCGATGAGCTAGAGGACTCCATGGAGGAAATTCCTTTATGGCTAAATGGATGTCTAATAGAGTTATTAGACAAGCCTCCATAACCTGAAATCTTAGAGTGAACATCTGTTGATAGCCTCATTGACTTTCCTCTTCTATTCTTCCTGCAACCACCACCAACAGGCACGTTTCGTAGGGATCCTCCTTTAGTCCAATACCTTCTACAACCTTTGCAGAAGTATCTCGGTTGTGCTAAACTGTAGTTGTTGTGATAACAAAATTTAGTATTTGAGGAACCACACCGGGGACAACTTGGTGATATCTCAGCATGTTCCTTCCATCCTGTCTCCATACCAGATTGCTTCAAACTTCATAGGCTTCATAAAACTGCCTAACCTTTCACTGGTTCTCTCTCCTGTTGAGTTTGAAAGCAATTAAGAAAGTAGTATAGGAAATTTGAGTGCACCCCAAGAGAAAGAATGGAGGCTTAAGTTTGTTTCAGGTGCACAACTGTTAAGGGAATGGAAGTCTTGGAAATGTGTATGCACTCAAGCACATGAGACAGCCAGGCTTAGTGGATCCGGTGCCGTCAAGGAAGATTTTGGTGGTGTGTAACAGCCCCGGAGGCTAATACACAGTGTCGCTGTTTAGTACATGTGGCACAATAGTACTGGTGTATATGAGGGTGGTAGAGGAAGCAAATGCCTCGAGAGTCTGACTCTGATTTCTTAGAAGAGCAGGCATCCTATATTAAAAAAATATCAACTTGGCAAACTGACACCCGAAGTGTTTCTCCAGAGTCTAATCTTGTACATGTTAATATCCCCGTCTCAAGTAAACCACCCCCCCCCCCCCCCCCCCCGAACTGAGATCAAATATTGCACAGATATAAATATATTGGAGCTGCATGTACAAGGTTGGATATCAGCAGATTTTTCTCTTTTCCTTTTTAATGAATTTTTTTTTTTTTTTTTGGTTGTTACATCGTCCATTTATTGCTTCGGCAATCAATGCCAAATGACTACCATTTAATTTAAATAGCACCCAAAAAGCCACAATACTTGAATGGCAAACACCACTTAAAGTTATATCTCTCACTCGGTTAATTAAACAAGTTTGTAAAGACAATGAGCATGTATCTCAACAGACAGTAGGTTCTTCTCTTCTTCCCAGGAGATCTCGTACGTGTTCGAGAGCCTTTCCTTTGTAATAAAAAAGAAAAACAAGTTTGTAAAGTTTGAACTGAGACCGACGATAAGAATCAATCCTGGAGCCAAAAGGTGCTTCCTTATCTTCCCTTGTCTTTTATTTTTCCGAAACATTTGCTTATTTCGTCATAAAAAGAAGCAAGCAAGAACATATCACATGCGAGTGTCATAACTGTAGAAATGAGGTGTTTCTTAAAAGAGAATGTCTATTAGGAGATAGTAGTTATATTTAGTCACTTGAAAAGGATCGTGGGCTCCTCGGATCATGTGAACCTCGTAGATTTCATAAATAATATATATATTTTGTTAGGAATCCAAGGTTTCCACTATGACGTTGACTGAGGACACCCAGAAGTTCATCAATTTGAGATGATCTTGCAAACACAATCACAAACAGCAAAGTGTTACAGGAGCAGCATAGCTATTAACTTGTGCTTAAAGCTGTAATCAATATACTATATTAATGAAATTTTTGTATATCTTAATGTGTTTTGAAACTCCCATGGATATATATTTTTAATGGACAGTAACACAATTTGGAAATTAAGAACTCATTGAATGAAAATACTGAAGGAGAAGTTTTGAAGAGAGGCCAGTACTGAATGGATGAAAGCAATATTAAGCAGCCAGTAAGAAAGTGGGGATTTTGGGTCAGAAGGAACTAGTAAGCGAGAGAGTAGAAGAGGACTCAAAGACCCAAGAGAAGGCGAAAAGCATCATTAGTTGAATGGGAGATAACGCTGGAAAGGTCCATCAGATAATCAAATTGTTAATTCATATAAATGGAACAGTTACATTAGAAGATCAAACAACTATGCACGATTATTCACTCGGATTTCTTCTGCTCTCTTAAAATTCTGCCTTCTGTTTCCTTTTGCCTTTCCTAAATTGGTTAGCACTCGCTTTAACTTTCGAAGACTTCATCTTGCGAGTGTCATGTAATATTTACTAACATTCAAAACTCATTTTCACGTCCTTGAGATGCCTTCCACCTAAACTTAAAGATTTCAGAGACAAAGCAATAAGAACTGGATTTAGGCTTGCTTTTATCAACGAATCAAGTTCCTGTTCTTCTCAAACTATACTAACTAATTTCTCAGTCTCCAGCCCAGTTATAACTCTTCTAGTTGTTGGCCGTTTGGTGCCATGGGGGAGCGACGCAAACGACTATCAAGAGGAAAAGGACTTCATGTGATTCTTATTTGTGGTTGCAAGCAGCCAAGTAGTATGATGAAAACGGGGAAAGAAGCAAACCCAGTCATAGTGCCCATAATGCATGTGGCTTCAATTACTATGGATAGACCATAAGGAGACTAGGCATCAAGGAATTCAATGTTCCAACTGTCCTCGAGCCTTGCTGCAAGATTAAGAGTGATGATTGAACAATAAGTGCGGGAGTTGAAGATTCAAGGCCACACCAGCCACCATAAGCTTCTCTCGCTTCTTTTCTTTCTTTTTCTTAGTACTTCAGATTAAGTAGAACTGAAACTAGCTACATCTAAAGGCTATCCCCATAGCAGCAACTCTCGAAGATGAATCCATAAACATTAGGAGACTCTCCCATACTTGCCGGATATCCAGATTGCTAGATCCAACACCAGCTATAAAACCAGCACATTGGTTACTCTCCCTTGGAACATGCAGAACTCTGTCCGTCTAGAAGCCCACAACTCTGCTCTTTCGAAGTTATTCCTTGTAGACCGAGAAGCCTTGCATCCAGTGTCCCCATTCGGTTTCGTACCAAACCTCCCACCCCAGGAGGACGCCCTTGGGCAGCAAATGCTACCGTGTATTTAAGAGTATAGTTGTATTTAAAAAAAAAAATTATTCAGAAATATATTAAAATAATAATTTTTAATATTAATGCATCACAATAATATAAAAATATTAATTTGAAGAAAAAAAATTCTTTTTAAATTGTCCGCAACCCATAACATCTCACACCAATTCCCATCAAGCTACTATACAGATTCTAGTGTCTTTCACGATGTTAAGCTAAGAAGGATTCCCAGCAACCAAGTCCAACAGCTTGCTACACTAATCAAAGATCAAGAGATTTCAAAAGGATGCTATGATAATTCTCTAAGTTGAGGGGGGGTGGAACATATGCAGCCATCAAATTTGAACATGAAAAATGATTTAACAGATACAAAACACAAACGTTACATTTGATGTTTGATGAGGTAACAAGTTACTTCTGTTTCTTCTTAACTTGTAGAGATTGTACTTGAGGACCTGGTCTCTTCTTTGCAAATGTACTGGTTCTGCTTTCTAATTCTCTGTCACTGTCATCATCCTCGTTGCAATCTCTAGCTGGTACAATGGAATCCTCAATAATTTTAGCAGCTCTTCTCTTTCCAGCTTCCAACTTGGCATATAACCTCCTTTCGACAGGGTCATTTGATAGTCTAGCTTTAGAATGGCGTGGAACTTCTTTTGCACCAAGTCCGAGCCTAAAAAAAACATGCAAAGATTTCTTACATACAGCTCATAATGACGCAGCAAAATCCTCTATTGAAAATGTAACGATGGCTATACTACCTAGAAGGCCGGCCCTCCAATTCTACTTCTGCTGGTTCATCTTCTACAGCCTTGCTCATGTTATTGACCCATAGTCCAGCCTGCACACAACAATGTTAAGAAACAAAAGGAAGAACAAAACACAAAAGAGGTAAAATTTCTGCTGCACTTCCACTAGATTGAAAGTCTATATTCCACTTCTTCCTGAATGTACAATGTCATTTGCTATTTTCTTATGAACAGGATACAGTTACTAAAAAACATATCACCAAACCTCATGATTCATGGAAAATATGGGGTTTCTGTTTCACTGACTATAGTGGACTGCTCAACAAGTTCAAAAATTTTCCATAAACAGCAACTTGAAATTGATAAACCTGATAGTTACTAATAATTGAATCACAGCATTGAAGCCTCTCTCTCTCTTATGCTTTCTAGGGTGCTGAAAAACTGACCAGTGTAAGGGAAGAAAGGGGAAAACCACACATAAAAATAAGCAGAACTAAAGTATAAAAAAACAAGAAAAGAGAAGGATTTTGTTACCATTTTGAAGGCATTGTCTAATCTGACAATCTGTGCAGGGGGTTTTTTCTGCGCTGCCTCCATGCTCATTGCTATTTGCTACTCTTTTCAATTAACTTGCACTTGCGATTCTATAATTTTCCATTCATCCAATGCTTTGAAAACAAGTTTGGGGAAGCTAGAGTTCCAAATTCACCTGATATGAAGCAGAAAATTGGAAGGCGAAAGATGAGAAACATATCTGTCGGTGGAGATAAACTAGAGAGAGTCGGTCTTCATGCTTGTGCGTGTGTTTGGTTTTGTGGAACTGCATAGTACTAGATGGATGCTGGTGCTTTTTCTTATTCTAGGGAGGGAGTGGATTGTTTGTTGTGGCCTGAAGAACCTGAGCCGTCAACCCACTAGGTCAATGATGTACTACATGAAACTGATTCAGCTAGCTGAATTTAAGTCTGCCTCAATTTCAACACAAATTCCAACCACAATTTCAACATAATTTTTAATTATCCAAAAGGCAAATCACAATCTAAAGGCTTAAAAGTTCAAATTGACAAATATAATTCAAATATCCAAAATACAATAAAAAAAAAAATTAAGTATCAAATATCCAAATGACAACAACCATAACCCATAATTAAAAAAGTATCAAATATCCAAATGACAAAAACCATAACCCATAATTAAAAAAACACAAGTTTCTTCAATATGCGGAAATGGCATTAAGAAGCACGCAAAGTTGGTGTAGCATTGGAGTTTTCTGGATTGAATCAAAGTTTTAAACTTCGTACATAGAAAACTATATTTCAATGTTTGCAAAGAAATACCATATTTGCAGCACCTTTCTTGACCCAGCTCATTCTTAGGGTCTTTGTTAATGTATTTAATGTCCAAAATGCAACATAGTAGTTCTAAAGTATCAATAAGGACCATATTTCAATTGGTCTCATGCATCATAAAACCAAAATTCATTTTTTTATTACAACATGTTTATAATCTAATGATCTCGTATATAGAAGTTTGAAACATTCCATAATCTAATGGGTAAAATGGAAACAAAAAATCTCTTGCAGTATTAGTATTAAATAGTCTTATTGTATGAACTAGCCTATTTCTTAAGACATTGAGGAAGATAATTTAATTTTTCACAGGGGATAGCTCAGTGGATAGCTCAGCGAAGCTATTATGTAAAAAGGTAATAATAAGTAAAAGAAGTTGCCACCTAGTTTTATAATAATTAAAAACCCTAACTAATTTTTTAAATGTTCAAGGTAAAGACCTGATTATGTTAAAAAAAAAAAGATAAAATCACTCTAAAATAATCTACCTAAGGTAAGTTGTTTCGTGTTCATTTTTAAAGATAAAATATACTTATTGTACTTGTATGCTAAGGTTTTGCCTAAACTATGCCTGTGTTAATTGTAAGAGGTAAAGGTTTCTAGGACATAACATAGTAATTTGGGATCCAAAGCTAGCAAAATGGCCTCATCTTCAATTTAAAAACTCAGGCGCGGAATCAGAAAAAAAGGTAAATTAGGCTTTGACCCATTCCCCTTGCTTACGTGATTTTTATTTTATTTTTATAAAGTTCTAAATAGAACCCTTTTAAGGATTTTGCCGATCTTTAATAAAAACAAAACCTAATATTTTTTGAAACTGCAAAGTTTCAACTTCTATGGAATTGAACCCTTTTAAGGATTATACTACTCACAAATTGATTCTTTGATGGAAAAACAAACTTTTTTTACAAATTTCATATTTAAAAACAAACATGGGAAAAAAAATTTAGGGGCCAAGAATAGGTTTATGACAAAGTGGTTTACTATTGGGGTCAGAACAATAAAAAGTTGGTCCATTCCTCCCATACCTAAACAAACTAACAGTGAGCTTCCAAGGGTTTTAGGGGAATATTTTCTTTACAGAGAAATTAAAATAATCTATCATTACTATCATTTATGAATGTTCATATCATAACCTTAAGACAACTACTAGTAGCCTAGCATTAAAGCATGACAATTCAAAATCTAGAACCAGCCTAGACAGATCGTTTACCAGAGGAGAAAAAAACCCTTCTCTTTTCATCATCTTAAGAGTCCATTCTCACTTCTCCTCTAAACACTTTTTGCTTGATCCGATTACATTACATAAGAACATCAAGTCTAGGCGCACGAAATACAAGAGACAAGATTGATGCATCAACCTAACCTAGTGTTTATATACTGCATAAGCACACAAAAACACACGCTAGGCAGCACAAAGTGCAAAGTAAATCAAAACACTCGTTTGCTTTGGAGACAAAAGGCACCCGTATAAGAAAGCATTCGTCAAAATTTAATATTTTAACGAGGAAGCAGCTGGTGAATAAGGAAACAAAACAGCAAAGCTAAAAGAATCACAATAAGCAAATACATAAACAAGTAAAATCCTTAGATTGAGAGTTCGATTATAAAGGAAATTAAAGGGAACCTATTGGAGTCTTGAGGATTACCAAAAAAAGAAGACGTTCTGGTTGGTGGTGGGGTGCTGCTGGTGCTGACGAAGAGGAGCAGCGGCTGAGAGAACTTGCTGCTGGAACGGTTGTGGGTGTCGCTGATGGAAAGACCTGGTGGATTAGTTGATCGGTGACTGGAGCTACTGTGAAATTGCTGTGATAACAGAAACCGTGTGCGAGAGGCGGCTGACTTTAATGTTCTGGCCCTTCTGGGAATTAGGATTTTTGTGGAACAAAGGCTACGGTTGAGAGAGAAGGAACGGCTGGGTTTTTTCTTTTGTTTTCTTTTCTTTTCTTTACTTTTTGTTTTTTATTTAGGTTTGTGGGTATTTTTTAATTTAATTTTTAATATTAGCAAATAATCTTTAAAAACATCAAAAAAGTTAATTTTAAAAAATTAATTTTAAAAAAATTAAAATACTTCAAAAACAAAATATTTTATAAATGTTTATGCATTTATATTGTAGACATCCCCTACGAACCAGAAATGAAAAAATCATTTTTATTTTTTTTTTCTCATTCATCCTTTGTCATCTTAACTCCTTTTCCTTTTTTCCTCTTAATTCATCCTTTATATTTTTATAAAATAAAATAAAATACATAAAAAAAAGTGATAAAAATTAAATGAGCTTCAATATTTTAAAAACATGGGAAGGGAAGAAATTAGGCTGAAAACACAGTTTAAACAATAGCTTAATTTTAAATTAGTTCAGGTTTTAAATTTATTTTTTAAAAGTTACAAGTTCAAGTTTTCTTAATACCACTAAGATTTACATTTAACTTTAAAACCCATAAAATTAATCAAAGTACTTATAAATTAACCAGACAACCACATTAATTAAAATATATACTTCATCTTTAAAATTGGACACTTTCACTTATGCGGTTTCTCTATATCTTAGTTCTATATATTTCAGTTGCAGAATGGAAAAATAGAAGAGTTACATATATATACAGTTGCAGAATGGGAGTCACCTATAGTTGCATTATCCAGGTAACTCTCCCATTCTGCAACTAAAATATACAAAACTGCATCAGTTAAGGTGTCCAATTTTGAAGATGAAGCAACATCTTGAACCAAAACCTCATGGATTTCGTATAAAAATGCTTCCGAGATCAGATCAACAATCTAACTCAAGAACATAAAGGAGCTACAAGGAATTAACTAGACCTAGGAAACCACAACTTCCTACCCTAACACAAATTTAGACTCATTCAACAACCATGACTCTTCACAGCAATCAGAGTGAAATGATGGAAAGATTCTGACTTCTGAGAACAATTAGATAACCACATTTGCATTATCTACTCTTAACAGTTTCAAGTTATAAGACAACTAATCCTACAACTTCATACAGTTTACAGCATAATTGTATCATATTTTGGAGAGGTAAACAACCAATACGGGGAACTGGAAGCCAGCATTGTCATCTTCGGAAAAAATAACCAGATAATAAGCAATTTAATGATAATTTACAGTACAACAAGAATTAATGGCATCATATTGTACAGCATTTATGCAAAAAATTTCAGTGGACAAGGCTGAAAAACAATTCTTGCAGAATGGGATAATGGAAGCTGGGACTTGATGCAACATGGACACACAGTTACAGCTCCGTTGAATGTACCCTGAAGAAGCTAACGAGATCAAAATTTAAATCCACAGACTGATGCTATTGCTGGCCTAGTCTTTCCTGTAAACAAGAAGAAAAACATGAATATTTAAGAGACAGCTATCATCACAATACCTCAAATCTCATAAAAACCAACTGAAAGACCAAAAGGATTGAACGATAGGAATAGCTCAACACCAAAACTGACAATTCAGGATGACAAGGGCAACTGAAACTGGACCCAAATTAACTACTTGGTTTGGATTTTACTTCTAAAAGCATAGGTTTGGTCTTGATTCTTTTTATATATCACCAACTGCTACACTGATTTACACATCATATGATCTTTTTTTGGCATAGATGGTAGTGATCAATCTTGTAACAGAACTCTCAAGTGCAGGGTAGTTTTAGAACTCTTTCAAGGGGTTGAGAGCCTGAAACTTAAATCATGTGGTTTGTTTTGACTTGGTTCAGTTATGGCTGGTTTGGTTTGATAATAGTCAACTTGACTTTAAGCTCTCGCCTAAAAACTGAAATTTGTTTATACAAAGGCTTCAATTATCATTGTAACTTCACAGTTTCAACATCAGTAAGAAACAAGAACTAGCACATAAGAGTTGGAAAAATGAGGAAGAAATTTAATGATAATAACCTGAAGCATCTGCATTAATTTTGGATTTTGCTCCAAAAGCCGGCACAGCTCTTCCTTGTTACTCAATAAAGACTGCCATAAAACAAGAGAATTAACTTTTAAGGTGAAATAAAGCATGTACATTTCAAAACCATAAACTATGTTCCTTGTCTGTAAAATGCAGGTACCGTGATAGCTTTTGGATCCTTGAAGTACTCCTGTAACGACATTCCAAGATCTTGTTGCTGCTGGGATGAAACATCTCCCTGCTGATGTATAACATGTGGCTGTGCATGCTCAACTAGCTGCTGCCTTGACTGAGAAAGCTCTTGCTGCTGAGCTTGATAATGAGCATGCACAGAAGGGAGTTGTGGTTGTTGCAGCATTTGTAATTGATGGCCTTGCATTTGAATAGGACTTTGCAACGACCCCCCTTGTTCCAGCTGCTGAGAAGATTGTGCAAGTGACCAAAGATGTTGAGGTGGCTGGGGTGGACGTCGAAGCGGAGGCTGCAGAGGCTGCAGCTGATGTATTGACTGAGCAGAAGGCTGAGGAATGGAGAGATTTTGCAAGACATTTGGACTCTCGCCTTGCTGCTGGGTGGGGATGCTTCCATAAGGAGTCACAGGGATTGTAGCTGGCCTACTGAAAACCATGGGTGGCATTAGAGGAGGTGGCATATAAGAAGTTAAACCAGCACCCGACACAGAGAGATTTCCTAATCTTGGATCAATTGGTGGTGAAGTAGAGGTCTGGGGAAGCTCATTTGTTCCAACAGTATATACTGAACATTGAGAAGTAGAAGGATTTAAAGAAGGTAAATTATATGGACTAGATGAGAAGGGAGGTGGTGTAGGAGGAAGTGGTGGGTGAGGCCCGGCAGATCCACTGGGAGAAGAGATAGAAGCACGTGAATACTTGGAATCTGGCATCTGAATGGAAGGATTGCTACCAAATGCAGATAGATAATCTGACTGAACCTGGAAAAGAGGGGAAAGTATGATTACACAAATGCAGAAGAACACGTGGTAGCAGCAGGATAGCAGATAAAATTTCTTTTAAATCGACAGCATATCTTATCTTACTTGGAAGGCTGCAGGAAGTGGAGGCTGCAACTCTGTTCCAGAGTTAACATAGGGGGATGACTGAGTTGGGCCTGGATCATGATTCTGAGGTATCATGGATGACATTGCTGGAGGTGGCATTGGAGGCAAAGGTGGCTGATTCAGAGGAATTTTAGAGTCATAAAGTCCTCGAGATCCTGAAGAATGCTGCAAGCTGTTCTTCATATAGAAATTTTGTGGAGGCATCCTTGAATCAACTGGAATCTGATGAGGAAAACCTGAAGTACTTGCAGCTGAAATGGAATCAAAGCCAGCAGAAGTCTTAATGGTATTCTTTGCATCATCAGGTTGCTCAAAAAACTTCTTATCCGAAGAAACACTTGGTTCTCGTGTCAACGGCATTTCAGGTCGAGAAACAGACATCCTTGAAGAGAATTCACTTTGGGTGTTCTCATCACCATGAGATGCTAATGGCGTGTGTGAATGAGAAAATTGATTGTTTCCATTAACATCACTCTCAGTCTCTTCAACAATAGAGTGGGGAGAACTTTGGTCGCCTATGACAGGGGCTAGCTGCTCCAGATTATCATCAGGCTGAGGAAAAGGCAATTTGTCATCAGATTCAGACTCCTCACCATCAAAAACAATATCTATTCCCTGAAGATCATCATCCAGAACAGTTTTCAATTGCTTAGACTTGTTGTCTTTTTCCTTATCCACATCATTCGCAGGGGTTGCATTCTTAACCTTTGCTGAAGGTTCCCCAACAACAGGTACCATTGGATTCTGGCGTTCTCTTTGCCTGGCCATAAATTCATCCACATGAATTGATGGAGGTCTTCCACCTGTAGATCCCACTCGCTGGACTGCTATAACATTTGAATTGCTAACACCATCAACACTTCTTTCTCTAGCAACATAGTCGTCAACATGCATGGATGGAGGCCTACTGGTATTTGGCTTGCGCTGCCTAAAGGTGTCCCTGCGAGTTGGACCAGAAGCAGCAGTCGATGAGCCCATTCCCCGGGAAAATGCATTTTGTCCAGTAGCTTCAGCCACTGAAGTTTCTCCCTTGACACGCTTACTAGAACCATCCAATGATGATAATTTCCTTTTCATAGAAGGATTCTGCGACAATCTATCAGGTAGGGTTTCTGGACATTCCCACAGAAATTTATCTCCAAGGCCTCCTAGGTAAAGGCAACCATCAAACTTTTCAGCAGTGCCATCTGCCATCTGATTTATTCTTGAATGAACCAGAAGCTCATTTGATGGTAGAGATTGAATGCCTTCACTGCTCATAATGTCATCTATTGTAACCGAACCAGTGGGCTTCTGCAACAATAGTAACAATGACTTCGCAGAATCTGAAGCCTGTAAATTGACGACAACCAGTCAGCTTCCACAAAACCAATGATGATAAAAGAAGTAATTTAAAGACAAAACATTTTAATCAACTTACTTGATACAAACTTTCCCTCATATCTGTAGCTAGATAGCCATCATCATTTAACTTTGAACTCAGAAGTGTAATCATTTCCAGTATGAAACCTATGTTCTCTGGAGAGGTATCTGTCCCATCCATATCATCATGGATACCGAAAAGTTTTTTTATCGCAGCCACCCCATTCAAATTCAAATTACTAAGAGAAGAATAAGAAACTATCAGCTTAATGGATAAATGACTTGGCATATCATTACAGGAACAAAAGTTGATGATGAATCCTATATCATAATAAATTATTCAAACCCATGAACAGAAACCTAGAGACAAGAAAAAAAAATCCCTTCATTGCCAAAACAGACCTGGCACAAAATTTGAAATGGTTTTATTGATAACCAGGATCCGAAAGTTATCAATGAAGCCTAGAACCTGTGTTGTCAAAGGCAAAAGGCGCTATGCTATAAATTAAAGAAAAATAATTGTATAATATTAGCTTTAAAATATATATAAAATACCATAACATATTCATATAAAGTTATATTTCTCATTAGAAAATC